GGAAAGAGCAAGTTCACATGCCAAGAAGCAGGAGTAAGGGAGAGCAAGAGTATCCATACCCAAAAGAGAGCAAGCAAAATGAATGGAGGAGAGCAAGCAAGCCCAAGCATGAGAGAGCATAGGCAAAAAGCAGCGGGATATGGCAAGCAAAGAGAAAGAGAGCAGGGGAGAGTGTGCCCATACACAAGAGTGGTCAAGAAAGACCAGAGAGGGAAGGCACATGCAGAACAGGGCAAAGCGAGTGTGTGTGTGTGAAAGTCCTCACAGGGGAGAGCGAGCAGGGCAGCGCACGCACAAAGGAGTTGCACCCCCAACCCTGCCTTGGCTACCGTGATACTGTCCCAGGCCCTCACCTGGCCTGGCCTCCCTTGATGCAACTATTTTGCCTTTTTATTTTCTTTCTTCCCCATCCTCTAGAATACGGACAGGGCAGGTCTTCCTCTACTTTTTACTGGAAGACTTCAGGATCTTAGCTGTAGGCTGCTTATTTCCAGCTAATTCATCAAAAGGAAGGGAGTTTTATAGCTTTACACAAACAGGTGAGGAACCAATTGAACAAGCAGTGAGAGGAAAGGCTAGCAGGGTGCTGACGGGAGAATCACAGGACAGAGTAGGATGGAGGGACCAGACACAGGAGGCCACTTGGCATGGGACACCTGCCCCACTGGTTCTGCTTTCTCCAGACTCCCTGCACCCGGGTGCTGCCAGGCACCGCATTAGCCAAGGTCTCTGCTTGCAGAGGACATGTGGGCAACCGTTCCTTTATGAGCAGCCAGAAACCTGTTTGAGAACCTACAACATACCTCAAGAGACCTGCAGCACTAGAGATAGGCAGGTATCAAACTCCAGGCAGGTTCAACAGCCCCCAAGGGGTTCACATCAGCTGTCCACCAAGGTGCTTGCAGATGCAGACCACTATGGGCTGCTGTTGCTCTTCCCCATGTCAGTACTGGTCTCATCCCCTCTGTCTCCACACCAAGCACGAGAGCAGCAGCAGGCCAAGCAATCCTGCATGCACAGCAAGCGCCAGGGCATGCAGAAAGACCTACTTGTTCCAGTGACTCTTGGAGTTCTTGTAGAGCGCTGGAAACATGATGGGCAGAATTTTGGCTGCATTGTCACTGATCAGGCTCATGATATATTCATTGTTCCAATAGTACAGTGCTCGCTCTGCCACCTGCAATGGGAGGGAAACACATGGTTGGAGAGGCTTCTTCCAGAAATTTTCCTGGTTCACCCAAGGCAATGTGCACAGTGCTGAGCCCAGAGCCTGCCACCACCCAGCTAAGTAGGGACAGCTTCCCTGCAATGCAGGCAGCAGGGCTCATCATCTCACATCTAGCAGGGCCATTCATTCCCTCTGTCTGGACTTTTTTTTTCTCCCCTTGGCCTTTGACAAAAACACCTTTCTTACCTGGAAAAATGTCATGTTCTTGACCAGACAAGTTTCACATCAATATACCAATGACTCCAATGCCATTTGCACAACATGCAAGCACACCACCATCATCCACTTCAGATCATAGCAGAGATTAGCTCCAAACATCCTTTTTTTTTCCTCAGACTGGCCTCTGTAGAGCTCTTTTCCTACTTGGCCTCTTCCACAACACAGTCTCCCTGAGCTTTGGGACATGCTTCTTTCACGAGACCCACAGTCCAACCACTTTCTTCAGACAGGATGAAAATATGGAAAATGTTGTGAAAGCGGGACGGCTGCCTCCAAATCAAACAAGTCTAACAGATTCCCACACAGTGATAGTTTTGAGCACAACTCCTCCTATATAACCAGAAATCTGGGTAACATAGACCACCAGACTGGTGTATAAATTTAGCCTGAGCTTGAGGGTGACATAGCAAAACCCCAAGAGGAAAGACATCTAGTTGCAGTTTTATATTTTGCTTGATGGAGAACTCACTGCATCCCCTCAACATACCATTCCCCACAAGTACACCAAGTGAAACTCACCTGTTCAAGCTGTTCAAACTCTGGTTTCCAGCTATTAGGTCTTGATAAACCTTTGTCTGCTAGAGTAACAGGTAATTCCCTCACTGAAACTTCTCCCCAACCAAGGCACTCATAGCCTTACCAAGAAGTCAGTTCCTATTTCTGCTCTCTGTCAAGCTGCAAACATTGAGACTGTTCAGCCTTGTTCCACAGGAAACCTTTGGGGTTTGTTCCCTTCCACTGCAAAATGTTTGCATCTTGCCCATTTTTTTCCAGTCTCGTTATGAAAAAGTTGGCAGCAGAAAAGAATTGCTGTGAGGACCAGGATTTCTCTCCTCCAGCCTTTGCTCTTTTCTATTCTAGCTCCCCACACCAGGAACACACATCCAGCCAGTTTCTATCAAGCTCCCCAAGTCCTTCCCAGAGGCACTCTTTCTAGGAAAGTGAACTTTTTTAAAAAATGACTGATGTCATTTTTGGCTTCTAAACAAATGACTGTATACCTTTCTGTATCAAAAGACATGCGTGAGGCCAGTCTGCCTCACTATGCAGCCAAGCTCACTTTGGGGAAGGGACGTGTCACTATTTAACACTCCACTCATACCTCGGTTAGCTGTGTGCTTCACCAGCGAGCAGTGCATCTTCTTCCAGTGCATTCTTCATGTCACCCTAAAGCAGCAGGCCAAGAACACCTTCAAGGAGATGCTAGCAGGTTCTCCCACCTAGAGACTTTATACTCGGAGACTACCAGCCACACTTTTAGCCTATAGTTATGTTCCTTTCAGTCGCAGCAAGAGAGGAAGAAGCAGTTTCTAGCACTTGCACTGTACTTCACTTACTATCACCCACACCAGACTAATACAAAGCATCTTCTCTGCTTTTAATTTCAGCTTTGGTTGGCCTTGCTCCAATACTGCAGCCAGCTTTATTTTACTTCAACACAGTGATGTGGGATGGATCTCTTCCGTCCCGCATCCGATGGCCAGAACAGGAGGTGGCAGAGCATCCCTGCTCCAGCTCCAGACTGTAGCACACAGTCCTGAAGAACATCATGTGGCAGGAGGGAATCCACTCAAAACTCAACATCAGCCCAGTCTTCCTTTTGGATGAGCTTGTTGAATGGTGGGGGAGTGTCACTGGTACCTAATACTCACCCTGGTCACACTTCCACATGCCACTGACTCACAAGACAAGAACTGTAGCCTCACCTTCATCTGCCAAGTGGGGTGCAAGGCAGAACCAGGCCCCCCTCCCTGACCTGGGACCCACCTGGAAGTGCGGACTGGAGACACACTTGGCCAGCTGCCTGAACAAGGGCTCCATAACTTTCACAAACTCAGACGGCTCAATCACATCCAGGATCTCCTCCAGCTCATTCAAAAACATCACCTCCTTGGGACTGTGTGTCTTCGGCCAGAACTTCAGCAAGCCCACGATCACCTGAATGTGAAGGGTAGAGATGTAACAGAGGGTTCAAGGCATGGTTTAGAGGCTTAAACTTAACACCAGCTTTCAAATAATTTTTTAAACTTTAAACAACAGCAGAGGAGAGGTAGTAACAAACGCAAAGAAAACATTCTCAGAGAGCCAGTCGAAGTTCCTAGAGAAGAGTAAAGACACTGCCAAATCGCATGTGCAATAGCAGTGTAGCCCAAGCTACTGTGGTTCTGACAACTTGCTGCAGTGACAAAAACAAGAAGCAAATTCTTCTAAACAAGGTCTAACAAGGAACTTTCCCAAGCCAAAGTGGGCTGGAGATGACAGACACTGCAGAGGAGCTTGGGAAGATCAAGCGACAAAATCAGAAGTTATAATACAGGTAGGGTGACCAGAGGATCATTATCCAATATACCTCAAAATTTGGACACCGGGGAGCACCCAATAAATAATGCAGCGACAAGCTCAAGACAAGCAAAAAGAAATAACATTTCACACAAAGGTAACTGGATTATGCAAATCAATTGCACAAGACTTTGGATTCAAAATCCAAACGGAGCTCCCGAAGGGATTAGACAAGTTTATGGAGGCTATACCAAATCGTGATGATTAAACATGGCAGTGCAAATGCACCCACCCTCTGGCTGAGGAAATCTTTAAACTACTGCTTAAAAGATACTGAAGAATCTTTCAGAAGTAGGACTATAACTCTTAATAATAATAATAATAATTACTCTTTCCTTATCCACCTGTTTCCAGGTACTGACAAAGGCAGGATTCAAGACACTGCAGACATTTGCTTTGCTGGAGCCATTCCTATGGTTTTCACAGAAATGTTCATTCCACATGAACTACAGACAAAAGTGGTGGTAGGAGCTGCTCTCTCAAGCCCTGCACACTTCAGCAAGCTGACCCTGAAGCCACTGCTGGAGGGTAACTTCAGCATGGAGGGACAGTAGTGGGCAAAGCAACAGAAAGATCGGGAACATCCAAGCATTACATTTCCATCGACCAAGGCTGGAGCAGCCAACAGTTCAGTATCCGCAGTGTTTGTCATGATTCAGATCTGCCATTCAAACAGGAGTTAGCTTCAGTGACTCAGAGGCAATTTCTCCTACAGCTAAGGTGGTGCGAGCTGTGTCGAGTCTGTCTTCATTATTACTGAGCATATATGATGCCTTGCTCACCTGGCAATCACTGGGATTGCTGCAGTGCAGCAGCTACCTTGCTGAGCCTTGCTGGAGGCAGCTCTAAGGGGGTTCGGACCCAGAGAGCGATATGGCTTCCTTCCAGAGCTGATGGCAACTTCTCCTAACGCAGTCAGAGCCTCGCAGATGTGCAAACCCCATCATCCTCCAAGATTTCAGCAGCCTCAGCCACATCAGCAGCCTATTCAAAGCCTTTGCCGCAGGATGCTTCCACTTCAATGGGACACAACCTGTGGCAATAACTGCCTTGATCTGTCTGGTTGGGACCTAATGCGACAGTCACTGAAGGTAATGAAATTGGGTCATTCCGCTGGTGTTTCCAAACACCAAATCAGACCTGGGTCTCTAATCCAGGAACGTTTTAACCATTACCCTGTAAGCAGTCATAAGCTATGAGCTTTGCTGCTTATAAGATGCAAAATGAACCTCAGAAGCACCAACAGACCGTTTCTATCTCATCCCTCATCCCACAGCAAGCACTTTGGCAGGAGAATCCTGGACTGGATTTCAGCCACAGGAAGTATTCAGCGTGATCAGGAAGCTACTCTCTGGAATTTGCTTCAGAGCAGGCTTTTAAGAACACAGGAAACGGAGGGCCCAAATCTAGGAGAAAAGCAAGGTCTGCTTCAGCACTGCTGATGTCAAAGCTGTGGAGCCAGAAAGCTGACGGCAGCTGACCAGCTTCCACCGAGCACCGTCAGGCTCAACGGGAACGCGCGCGTTTCAGCCCCAGAACGGAACGACCTCAGCGAGCATTAATCATCAAAACACAAACACTTTCTGGTGCTCCCTGCTACAATGACAAAAGCACACGTTCTTCGGCCATCTGCTGTTTTGAGGCTACAAAGCCTAACTCTGCAGAAGGCATTTCCGACACGCTTATCTTCCCGTCCTGCAGTGGGTGGAAGAACATTTGTCTCCTGCTTGCACCCTCTGCCAAGGCAGAACGCAGCCTGGTTCACGCTGCGCAGCCAGCAACTGCAACACACCGAGGCTTCCATTCACAGAGCTACGTCCTGAAAGCAAACGTGTCAATACTGTGACTCAACACCACAGAGGCAACGTACTGATGTTAGACAGGAAGGGGGATGTTTTCACCAAGGAACGGTGGCTTGCCCACCAGATGGATCATCTGGTCCTAGGTTCCTAACCTAATCCCCCAGTTTTTCAGACAACTCTGGTAGAGTCTGGGGTGAACTCGTAACATTTCAAGGTCCTCGAAAGCTCATGCAGGCTCCCTTGGATGTCAGATAGCCATGTGTTTTGTCTCTTCAGAATCTGTTAACAGTCAAAAGCCCTGTCTGGATAGAATGGCTTTGCAGAGTTTTCATTCTGCTACACCAACATCTGAAGCACAAAGGAACATCGAAATCCACCTTTCTGAAGCTTTCAGAAGAGGATGCAAGAGGCTTGCACATGAGCAGCCACAATCCCTCTTGCCCTAGGGCTGGGAAACCATGCAGCACCCATCTACAGGGCACTGTGCAGGTCTAGCGAAGAATCCCAGTGGCTCCCAGCCTCCCTGGCCCTTTTTGCCTTGCTGCACCCTGCAGAGGCTGTGAGGGTCTTGGGTACATGACTGATGTACAGACATTAATTACTGTTACTCACCGGCTCTGTCAAGCTGCTGTCTTTCTCCAAGAACTGCACAACACAGTAGGCCAACTGTAGGAAAGAGCATGGCAAAATTAGAACTTCTTCAAGCTACTGGATCACACTACCACCCTTGCCTGGAAGCCACGCTGGGCATTCTGCTATGTGTGTGCTGAACAAGCAGCTGCAGCACCGAAGAAATCTGGTTCTTCTGATAGTAAGTGAAGGTTCACTAAGACCAGACCGACAGGAGCACGTGCACAGCTTAAAATGGCAAAACTTGAACCACCTAGAGCAGTCTGCAGCTAAACCACTCAAATGCAAGCACAGCTGCATGGAAGGGTGGGAACAAACTGGATCATCACAAAATCCAATCCCATAAAAACAAGGTCAGGAGAGCACACATCACTGACCAACACCCATTATTCATTTATTTATTTTTAAACTTTGTGGGCAGTCCTGATTCTTTTCTCTATTCCAACTACTAATGGGCAACAAATTAATCACCACATCAGGCTAAATGCCCAGCACACCAATTTCTCTGTGCATCTCAGCAATTGCTAACTGTCGACGCTCACACCACCCATACAGGCAGATGCCTGGAGCTCAGAACTTTTGCTCTCTGACTTCAGCAGGGCCCAAATAAGTTTCCTGCACCAAAAGGCAAAGCACGTCAGAAAGTTCGGCCAGCCAGACAAGGCAGGATACTCTCCTACCAGCCAGGAACATAAAACACAAACACATGCATGGACACAGGGGTCTAGGAACCATGAGACAAAGTCAAATCAATACATGAGAGACTAACGCGGAGCCTAAAATATCTCACAGCAAGAACTCTGTGTAATACAGCAAGCCTAAGCACCTGCTTTTGTAAGGATCACGTTCTGCCCTGGCAATCTGAAGCACTTCTCACCTGCGGGTGGTAGACGCTTAGAGACTTCACCTTGTGCAGCGGTAACAATACCCTGATGAGGAACATTTTGTGCTCTTCCTTCAGAGGCAAAGCAAACCCATTGATTATGCTGAAAGGAAACAAGAGTCTCATCAGTGTCTTTAGCCAGCAGAAATACAAGAGTTGTCACCACGAAGGTTGGCTTGCCCAGGCTCTCCTTTGTAATGCTAGACAGCGCCCAGCAGTAGGAGCACAGCTGCTGGGGCTCAGCCCTGCATGGAAACATCCTCTGACTGGGAATGGGCTCTGCCGTACCTTGCACCAGACACGGCACAGGACTCCTCACACCAGATCACATAACTAGTCAGGGCCTCTGGGAAGCCCAGGGCAGTCCAGTCCCAGAGTTTGTGCTTTGCAAAACAGGAGGGCAGCAGTATAAGAGGGTCTGCTAACAGGACAGCAGTTGAATCTAGGGAAAACTACCTAAGCACTGTGAGAATATTCTTCTCCCTTACTGCCTGCTGAGGTAAGAGAGTAAGGAGGACTGTCTCAGGCTCCAAAGGACAGTAGACAACCCCAGGGTGGGAGGGAATGCTACCATTGCATTTGTGGGCAGACTAGAGAGAGCTTTTCCTGAGTGCTTTGTCCAACCGGGATCTCCCAGAACAGTTGGCTCCTGCAGGAACAGCTGAGGGAAGGCATGCTTTTCCTGAGTGCTTTGTCCAACTGGGATCTCCTGCAGGAACAGCTGAGGGAAGGCACTGCCAACTCACACAACACACTAGGCTAGGAGGTCTCATGTGCTATGGGGCGCTCAGGACTTCTAAAAGAGCCATTACCTCCCCAGAATCTCCAGCAGCTCTGCAATCCCATTGTGGTGCTCTGTTTCATAGATAAACCTAAAATAAAGGGAGAGATATGTGAGGTCATTTTTGTTTCATAGATAAACCTAATATAAAGGGAGAGATATGCAAGGGCACTGCCAAAATGCTGAATCCAGTTTGACAAGCAAAAGGAATAAAAGCCAACAAGATGGGGAATTTCCAGTAGGAGTAAGTAAAAGAGCACTTGAGAGACAAGGCTAAGCGGAAGCAAGTATCCCATTCATGGCTCCCAGGTCAGCATCACCGTCAAGAAACTAATGCATGTGCACGTAGGCCCTAACACTCACTATGTGCACTGGGGACAGTCAGTACTGTCAGATTCTCACTGCTCTTGAGCACAGGCAAATGTTCCCTTCCAAAATCTGTGACATGACGGAGTCACTTGGCTAATCACAGTCAAGATCAGAGACAGGATCACAGCTTTGTGCCCCAGATGTCTCTGTCTCGATTATCCCATCCACCTACCAGGCCATTAACATCAGGAAACATCTCACCTGTAAAATATATTGTTGATCTGCCGCCTCACATATGCACGCAGACCCAGAAATTTGCCATAAATCCTGTGCAAAATGGTCTTTAGGAAGTCTCGCTCTCTGGGATCTTCACTGTCAAAGAGATCCAGCAGCTGCAGGGAGAGGAATTCAATCAGTACTTTTTTACTGCCCCCTTCCCCACATAAAGCTACAGCCAATGTAGGGCAGTGTCCCTGCTCAGCAAAGGTGGCTCTTCCAGTCCAGTTGACACCTACAGCACGCTGAACACAGGGATAACTTCCCCGAAAGCTGCAGGCTTGTAGCCACAATCTGGAACTATGAGCATCTGTTCAGCCTCCTGAAGCACAGTAAGGGCCTGGATACCCTCCAAAACTGGGTGCCCCTGCACTTCCCCTGCTAGGCCCTCAGTGCCCTTCTCCACCTGCACACCAAATCCATGAAACTCAGCACGACAACTCACACATGCACTTGCCCTACCCAGAAAATTCTGGCTGCTCTTTCAAGCAAGGACACAGGAGAGAGAAAAGGAGAGAGAGAAGAAAACAAATAAACCCCATCATCATCTAGCACCTGCCAAAGATGGACTGTCCAGATAATGACTTGTCCAACATCTGCTGCACATTCTTCCTAAGGATGGCGCAGAATGGCAGGGAGTAGGATTACTTACGGATAGTACAAACTTCTGGTCAATGTATTTCTTGGCTACATTTGGTTGAAAATCAGGCGATTCCAAAAACCGGAGGAAGAACTCATACACCAGCTGTGGAGGAAGAAAGAGATCATTTAAAAAGAAATAACACCCTCGCAGGTCTTTTACTTTACAGATTTTTCTTCTCCCTAAGGGTTCAGGGAAAGGCTGGGAAGCCTGAAAGGTGGCACAGAAAGTATAGGAATCCATGCTACCTCCTCCTGGGATCAAGTCAGCTGTCCCTGCTTTAATGGGCCGGAGCACCATTGGCAGGTTAACTGCCTAACAGCATCTTACAATCTCAGGTCCTACCGAAGACAACAGACATCTACTCAGATGAAGTAAGATAAACTTTTCGCACATTAAGCCCTTGTCTCTACAGAGGACAGAAACCTCTACAAGAGAAGGCAGAGTGCAAAGTCCTCTGCTCTTGGTGGGGAATTCACTTTCAGCCTACATCAGTGTCACAAGGGACTGTGGCCATCTGCAGGTGGACATTGCACATAGCCTACAGCCAGCTTCCAAGATGGTCCTGCTGCCTGTGTTACCTTCAGACTATGTCAGCCCCATGGGTCGCAAGCCCCAACTCTCAGTCACTGGGGGAGGCAGCCAGGCGGCAGGGGGGAAGCTGGCAGACTCTAACATTACGCATGCTCTCCACTTCTTACAAATAAACAGGCTAGATCTGTGCTCCCCTCCCTCCTCTTCCTCACCTGAAGGTGAGGCCAGGCAGCTTCTAACGTAGGCTCATCTTCCTCAGGGTCAAACTCTGCACCTGTGGGATTGGATGACGGTGGGAGTGTTCGGAAGAGGTTCACTGAAAACTGAGTTGAGTAGAAAAAGTGAATCAGTGACATTCCTACACCCAGTGATGGCCCTCCCAAATCTCTCACTGCAAAGCAGCACATCATGACTTGGCATACCCCAGCCCACAAACAGCTCCCTCCCTTGAAGCCACAGACTTGCAGTTTCCACATAAACTCCACAAATGCAAAACCTATGCCAGGAACAACCCTCTGAACAAAATCCTCCAGCTATCTCTACACCAGACACTCCCAGGCAAAGCACACACATACATACAACCCTCTCACCTTCTTCTCTTTCAGGGAGGCAGATAACAAGAGATAGGTTCTGCTGGGGCCACACTCCTTCCTGAAAAAAAGTCTCTAACTGCCCCTCCCACAACATCCACAAATGTATTCTCCTGAACGACTCCCATTTCTGTAGCACACAAAATACCAGCTTCATGCCCTACCATGACGACCGCTTCAGGGTAGATGGCTTCAGTGACAACGTCACGGTTGTGCGTGATGTATTCCACCATCTCATTGAGACCTGCTCGCTTCACCTCCTTGAACTTCAGGTCGCTGAGGGGGTCGGAGATGAAGTCAAAAAGCACACAGCATTGCCGCAGCTTCTGGATGAAAAGCTCTTCTCGTTCGTGCAGAGGAGCATCTGGCAGAGAAAGCGGGGACATCTATCCTTGGAGACAGGCAGAATATCTATCTGTTTTGCCCAGGTTTACACAGTGCTTCCCACTCCCTATTCTCCCATCCCTTCTTAGTCACAGTGGCCCTTCAGCTGCTGCAGGAAAAGTGGGCAGCAGTATTTCCCCACTACAGAGATGTGACAACAGAGGCAGTGAGATTTTAGGATTTCTAGAGCACCAGCTCCATTAGGTCATTTCAAACACAACAGGGGTTTCTGATTTGATGAGCATCAATCCCCTCTCAGTAGGGACAGGTACTCGCTTAACTGGCTCCCATCACAGACTGGTGACACCCTGTACTCCCAGTCACAGGGGACAGGCAAAATGCACTGTAGGCAGAGCGGGTGACCCAGAAGAGTGGCCGGGTAACAACAGTATTTTACTTTTGGTATGTTGCCACTGGAAGCTACATAGTGTTAAGGCCAACCAAACAAATATGCCTTTGATTTGCAGAAGAGCTGCTAAGCTGTGAGGCAGCTGTCTTTCCCAAGAGAACCACCTGTTGCTGTGAGCACTGTCAGCAATGGGCCTGGCTGAGCAACTGCTGAAAACACTTTCTCCTCATCTGCACTTAAGCCAAATTTAATTGCAACATTATGGAGACTAACTGCTAACGCTGGACCACTGCCCTAACGTGGACAAGTTTAATAGTACTACCATAATTTTCAATGGAAACACAAGGAGGAGGAGGCCTGATCATCTCCCCGGAATTGTGGGCTGCAGAAACCTGTTTTAACTCCTGCACTGAGGTCTCTGCCTCCTTCCTGTACTGAAGAGCCTGAAGTAACCCCACATAAATGCAAACAGCAGGGTTTCAATCAGCTCAAATGGAGAGATGACAATGCAGTTCCTCAGACTATTGGACATACTCCTTTTCTTTTAGGCTATCCCTCAACCTTTTAATTTTCAGCACACTGCCATGTCTGTGACAGATACCTGCCCTGGAGCTGCCCCTGTGGCACCACCAGCAGTAGGTTAGCATGCCACTGTGAGGATCACTGGGGAAGGAGCCCTTACACCACAGTGTCTTTGTGGAAAAGGCAGAGCTCATCGGTCACGTCACCCATGCAGCAGGCTCTCTTTACCTTTAAGTGCTGGGAGCTTTTGCAGTTCCCGGTTTTTGCTCAGGTTGAAGCGAGAGGAGCTGTGTCGACGCTCCTTCTTCACAATCTGGGGTCCTCCCGAGTACTTGATCTTATTCAGCTGGGTTGGAGGGGGAGCGCTGTTACTCGGGCGCTTATTTGAAGTTGTCTGTTGCTGCTGCTGCTGCTGTGCTGGTTGCTGTGGCTGCTGAGCCTGCTAAGGGGGAAGAGAGTAAAATAACCTGTAATCTTTTACCTATGGGCCTCAAAAGCAATCAGACATCGCCAGCATCCTCCTGGACTGAGGACACTGGGCAAGTTTTTCACTTCTGCAGGGGCATTTTTGTTCATCTTGCATACTTCTGCAGGGCTCTAGTTCAGTTTGTCACATTTGTGGCATACTTGCAAAACAAGCATCACTTTGCGTATATCCCATAGCTCCACGAGGTACCACAGAGACCATGGGATGCTGGAGATGCAGAAAACAAAGCCACATCTTGCAGCAAGTTATAGGAGTTTTCTTATTTCTATTTGTTTGCCTTGGTACTTTTTGTGGTCCACAGATCTCAGCCTGATGCTCCATCTGGTTATGATACTTTGTACAACGCACAGCAAAGGAAATTTTTGACAACTGGCAAGTTGCTTTCTTACACACTTGTAGGGAGCCACCTGGGAGAAAGCAGAACAGTAGGTTTCACAGATCAGACATGGTGGCCCCAAAAAGGCCACAGTGAAGACTGCTAAAACCCTTGCTGCATCCATAGACCATGAGTGGTCAGTCTACAACCTGCATGGACCGTTTTGGACGTACCTTGCTCTGCTCCTTTCTGCTCCTCACAGGTAGACAGTATCAGCACCTACTCAAACCTCCTGTCCCAGGTCTTGGGCTCTCCTGCCCCATCCTGTCTGCCCCTCTACCCCGCTTTGTCCTAACCTTGCTGCTCTCTGAACTTCTCCTGTCTACTGGCTTTTCTCCACCTCCACCAGGGTGTACATTGGTACATCTGGAAACTGAGGAGATCCCTCTATCCATAAGAGGTATTTATATTTATAATTTATATACTCTTACATTTAACTGGTCCATAAGCTGTTGTCAATATTCACACACACAGAAAGTCTCAGCAATAAACACAGGGAAGAAGCGCACAGGGCTCCACTATCTGGAACATGCTGTATAGCAAGGACAAGAGCCATGCTGATGGAGGAAGGCATGTTTATCCGCAGTATTCCCAGGAATCCGATTCATTCATCACTACCAGATGGCTGTGCTGGCTTTGCGGGACAAGCAGCACAGAGCCGATGGGGAGGCAGGCTCAGGTGGGCTGCTCAGGGACCAGCTGCGACACTGACACACGCTCTGCACTTCGTGCTTGTTAAAGAGCACATAGAGAGGAACTCTTCTACTTTTATAGCAGGTAACCAGAAAAATCAAGTCAGGGTTTCCTAATTTCAGTTCTGGTCTGGCTGAAGCTCTGTTGGGTCAGTTCCCACTCAGGCCCCAATGGCTCAATAGCTATTAACACATTGGAAAATGCAACATGGAAAATTGGGAGAGCAACATCCCACTAACAATCTGGAGCAGAGGCTCAGCTGCAGAAAGCACCGAGTCCACCCCAGCTCCATGGCAAGAGGCCAGCAGTGCTCCATTCCCAGGCTTTCCCAGCCCCTTTGGCCGTGGAGCAGCCATGGAGCTGCAGGGTGATTCAGTCTAGGCCATGACAGGGATAGCACCATGGATGAGGAGCAGAGGGATGAAAA